AGGAAATAAAAGTACTCAGTTCGCAAGAACCAGTTCGCAAAAAAAAAAAAAAAAAAGCAGCAATAGTCATGAACTATTCGCGCCTACAAAGTTCGAAAGAACAAAAAATAGCAATGGTCATGAACCATTCGTGCCCACTCGATTCGAAAGAACAAAAAATAGTAATAGTCATGAACTATTCGCGCCTACAAAGTTCAAAAGAACAAACAATAGCAATGGGCATGAACCATTCGCGCCTACAAAGTTCGAAAGAACAAACAATAGCAATGGGCATGAACCATTCGCGCCTACTCGGTTCGAAAGAACAAATTCGCGCCTACAAAGTTCGAAAGAACAAACAATAGCAATGGGCATGAACCATTCGCGCCAACTCAGTTCGAAAGAACAAATGAACGCATTAACAAATGAACGCCACAAAGGAAAACTCTTTGGATTTGATTAAGCGGGAGCAATGGAGCAATGTTCGCAACTACACTTGATATAAAAAAAAGAGCGAGAAGAAAATAAGAAAAACAACAGAGCAACAAATTCAAGATGGCACTAGGCTAGCGCGATAACACTTAGTCCGCCTGAACACCATCAGTGTCAGGCTGAACATCCTCTGTACTCGTCTGCGCCGCATCAGCTTTCTCGCCATCCCCATTCGCGCCCTCAGCCTTCTCCCCATCCGGGCGTCCCTCCTCTTCCTCATCCTCATCCCCTGACTCCGAGTCAGACTCCAAGGGCCGCTTCTCGCCAATCCACATTTTGACGTGTTGCACCATTTCGCGAGTATCCCAATGGACTCCCGGGTTTTCTGGTCGAACCTTCTTTCCGACCGCGATCACGGCCTTGGTCATGGCGTCCGCCAAAATCTTCCCGAAAGAGGAGGAAGACTTGAACTGACGAATGGCCGCAACCTCGGCCGCGCGAACAGCTTCCACCTACACGACACTGTGAAGTCGGACCAGGTTATCCTTCTCCCTTTGGAATTCTTCGCGAGCTTGCTTCAGCTTCTCCGCGTAAGAAGCCTCCCACTGTTCCCGGATGGCGGAGCGCTCCTCGGTCTGCACCTGCTACTTAGCCGCCTCCACGTCGGCAGCCAACTTGCTCTGCAGGACACCGAGTTCCTCCATAGCCTCGTTGGCTTTATTCGTCGCCACGTCGCCACGATTCTGCGCTCCAGCAAGCTTCCCCTCCAGCTGAACAATCTTTGCCTCCTCAGCCTTCATCTTCGCGCGCTGCGAAGCTCTCTCCTGTTGGGCTCGGAAGGTCGCCAACAAACCCTACAACCACAACGCTAAAAGACTTAGCAAAACATTGCATTCAATAAAGAAGATAATTTTGAAGACTCCGCGAGGACTCAACCCAATCTTACCGCGAAGTGGACCTGAGCCAGGTCACGAAGGGGGTCAGACTTCTCCAGTCGAGACGGGACACTTAGGACGAGGCCGCCCCAGTGTGAATCCGCACATCGCGGAAGTAGTTGATGGCAGCGGTGGCAGCGGCGACAGTGGCGGCGGTCCCTCCAAAACCAGCCATCTCGGGCAGTTTTTGCTGGATGGTGGCTCCCGACGAGCTGCCAACCGCCATTCTCCCAGACCGAGAAGGCCTATCCACCTGCGCCTTTGGCTCCGAAATTGCCAGAGACAGTTGCCGCGCCGCGGGAGATGGTTGCTCCGCTTGCACAGTCTGCGCCGCCTGCGCAGTTTGTTCAGCCAGCTGAGCCGCCTTACGGGGCTTCTCAACAGCCAATGGCTGTTCAATTTCCTTCCGCTTCACATTCCTCGGCTGCGCGCTCGCCAACCGACATCATGCTTACCAAGTTGGAGAAGTCAACACCTGCGCCAATAAATCGTAAGAAAGCGGTTAATATGATAGAATGCAAAAGAAAAGAAACACAACTAACCATCGTCAAACAGCTCATCCAAACAAGCCTCGCGGACTCCCCCCGCGTATAAATTGAACCTATGTGACATGCACGCCTCGTACTCATCGTCGAGACCGACATAATTGCCTGTGTCCGACTCATATCCGAGCGTGCTGCCTTTCTTCCAGACAGTGGGCTCCTCCACAAACTCACTCGCCCACTCTCCGGGAGTGGGCTTGACAAAGAAGAAGCGCTCGAACCAAGTTTTCATTAACTTGGGCGATCCATACACGAAGTCGTCGGGCCTCTTGTCGCGACGCTTGATGGAAAGGCAGTCGCTCCTCCTTGTTGGCTTCTTGATTTTGTATATCTTCCGGAACAAGCCATAAGTCGGCTCAATATTAAGCCTCTTGCACGCAAGGCGGAGACAGCTCGCGTGCATAATTACTGAGGGGGAGAGCCGCCCAACGGAACAATTGAGGCGCCTATACAAAGCGCATAATAGCGGGTCGATGGGGAACTTAAACCCCATCACCCAATACTCTGTATAGACGCCAAACCACCCTGGGGGCAATTACCCACCATACTTCGCGCAGAAGGAGCGGCGTACTCCCAATGGGGGGCAAGCCCAACCCACGGACTATATCCGCCATGTCATCAAGATCATAGATAGAAGCATGGTCGGGCCCGGGCTTAATATTGTCGTGCGGCGCCGGCTGATCGCCCCACATCTCCGCCCACTCTACAACGGTATATGCAGCGCCGACACCGCGTAGCCTTAGTCGGCTCATTGCCTCTGACACACGCGCAACACTACGCGACTCTGATTGTGAACCAGATTCCTCGCGCGCCTCATCGTGGGCGACCCCAGACCCCCCAGCACGGCCACGCCGAATGATCAGTACCCCACGAGCGCCCGGGCCTGCCTGCCCCGCCGGTCCACTTCCAGACGCAACTATACCCACGTCGGAGGAACCGCCGAAATCAGTCTCCGACCCGACGTCGAACGACGGCGTCGCCGGAATCCCCTCGTCATCGGCACCGCCGCCGTCCCCATGACCGGAATCGTCCAATTCCAGCGAAGGATCGGTAGAAGTGTGCGAAAGAGAGGAGAGATTACCTTCTTTGCCTTGCACGACCTCGATCTCGTCGATGTTGTTGCTAGCCATGGTAATACCTCGAGTTTAGCAGCAGCAAAAGGAGAATTGAGGTTGTAGAAGAAGGAGATGAATCTCGGATAAGGGACGAACGAAGAAACGGGAAACAGAGTTCGAAAGAAACAGAGTTCGAAGGAAACAGATGAGTCCAATCCCCCGATGATAAGTCTATACTTATAGTCGACAAGGAGAAAACGAAGGGTTAAAGTCACATCGGGAATCGTAACCGTCAGATCCCATCAAACCGTTTCGAATTTCAAAAAATCCCCGCCCAAGTAGCCCAATCATACAAGGACACGTGGACGCCTACCCAGCATAGGCACTAGTCGATGACGCCACAAGTGCCGCGCACCGCCTGGGGGGCATGACACACCCGCAAAGAAGAAAAAACACACCCCGAGCCCAACTTCTATCGCGCACAAAGAGACCGGAGAGTCCCACCGCGGAGATCGCGCAGACCCAAGCTGATCACGCAAAAATCAAACAACCGCGCACACAAACCCGAAATCAAAAAGCATCTCAATGACCCACCTCCGACCCAAAGTAGTGCGCACAACGAGTAGAGGGAATCCCACGGAAATCACACGATCAATACAACTCCTGGATACAAGCATCGCGCGTAATGAACCCGGAAAATTCGCCCCGCGGAGATCACGCAGGTCCGAGTCAATCAAGCGGAAATCTTAACAGGTGGTATTCACGGAACACCCCCTGATGGGAGGCAATTGTTGGGCATGTGACTCGGACCTAGCCGCGCCAGGGAAGCACACCGGCATCATCCCCTGATACTGCCAGACATGTCAGGGCGCGACGCGACCGACGGCGCTCCAGCGCGAAGACCTCGAGCGCGGCGAAGGCGAAGGCTACGCACGCAGGTGAAGAGGTCAGGCGTAGACCAGACCAAAGAGCCGCAGAAAGCGTCATCGCGCTTCTCGAGGGGTAGTCACATCAGGGTCCTAGATACAGTCATAGGTAAACTTCTGACATGTCCTAGGTAGAGGCATAGCCTAAATCCCTGACATGTCAGTGGTCATGTCATTGTACCATCATGTAACTCACCCACTCACCCACCACCATGTAGCCTATAAATATGGCATTTACTCCGGTGGGTGAGGAGATCGCAATTTTCAGATTCTATCTCTAAAAACATCAACTTCTCTCTCTAAAGACGAATTCCCTCAACCTCGTTCTCCAAGATCTTGGTTCTACGTCATATAGTCGATTTTCCTTGCTTACTCCCCTTGACCCACTTTCTTTCCCGAACTTCACTCCTACACTCAGTTAGGTTCAAACACATGTATATTAATATGCATGTATATTAGAAAATTGATGTATTCTAGTTTACATCGTTTGATTTTTGTGATAGTTATTGTAGTATTTAAATAAGTTATATTACTTTTGGGGCCAAATGCCACTTTTACCCTTTTGCTTTAAATATAAAAAAGTAACATACATAAAAAGGTAGGGACATAGTTGAAAAAAACCCAACAATCTCCACCAAAAAATCTCAACAATCTTACAAAAAACTTGAGATTTAACTATCACTCATTTTAAGTTATAATTTGTGTTAAATCAAGCAAGCATGTATTGTTTGTACAGAAAATTAAAGAAACAATACATTATGGACAATACATAGTAACTATCCCACTAAACCTAGCATAGCAAAAGCATAATACTCTTCGAAAGAGGGGAGGAGGAAGGACGGTGATGACTGATGAATGATGATGACGGAATCCTGGGGTTGACCAATGAACAGTGAGCGAGCATGGCACAATTGTCTTCTATCATTCGCTCATGATGACCACCACTGGTTGAAAGTTGAACTTTGAACTTGAAGCTCCGGGGAAAAAATGGGGAAGAAGAAAGTGAAGAATATATTAATAGAATATCTCGATAATTATTAAGACGTTTTTTTTGTGAGAATTATTTTGTTCGGTTGTTTGTTGGATTATATTATTACATTATTCTTCCCCTGTCCCGCCAAATTAACACTAATCCCAAAGACTTGCTGCTCCCTCTCTGATTAGTGATTTTTTTGGAATGATGAGTGATTAGTGATATTACCAAACAAACAAACAAAAGTCCATCCAATTCCATCTCGTAGGCCAGCCATCACCTTCCCCGGTCCAAACCTCACAATTGCTTCTCGAGATCTCCCAAAATTTCCCTCTCCCCTAAATTAACGCCCATCGATCATCTTCCAGTTTTGGAGTTGGGTCTCTCTCTCTCTCGTATGCTGAGATCTGAATATTCTCTCATTGCCTAGGCAACTTTGATCTCCACGTGATCGTACAAATCAGAATTGAAAATTCAGAATCAGGGCAAAATCAGCACCCTCCGTTGATTCATCTCCCTTTTCAATTTCATGGTTTTCCCCTTTCTGATGCATCCTCCGTCGCCTTTATTATCTTCCCTCTTCCCCGCCTCCTCTTCTCTTTTCATTTCCATCTCCATAACCGTCTCCACCATCTATTCCTCTGCTCAATCAGAAACCATTTCCTTCGTTCTTTAACCTTTCCCCCCCTTCTTTCGTTTTGGACCCTTTTTCCTCTCTCTTCGTGGGTTTCTTGTTCCGGTCAAGATGAGTGTTGCCAAGTCTCAGGTATGGCAGCCGTGTAAAAAGAAGAGGTCTTGATCGCATAACCGCACCAGCTCTAGGGCAGCCAGATTCAATTGGGGTTCGAATTTAATTCTGTTAATAATTATAATAATTGGGGAAAGTGGGTCTTGAGGAGATTGGAAATTCTGTCTGCTTGATTGCCGATAGCCGACAGAGAGAGGCCAGGAGAAGGCGGAGGGCGAGGGAATTTGTGGGGTTAATATGGCGACTAGAGGGCATGGACACGGGCACGGACATGGTGGAAGCGGGAGCAGAACTCGCGTAGGGAGGTACGAGCTCGGAAGGACGCTTGGGGAAGGAACCTTTGCGAAGGTGAAGTTTGCCAGGAATGTTGAGAATGGTGAGAACGTAGCCATTAAGATTCTCGACAAGGAGAAAGTCCTTAAACACAAGATGATCGCTCAGGTTCGCCCTCCAATTTTTCGTGTTTCCCCTTTCTGTTTGTTTGATTGTAACCCTGACAGTTTTGGTGTCAATGATATCATTTTGCTGAATGATCGATATAGTTTGTCACATGTCATTTATTTGAATTGGGTTGTCGAGATTGTGTGTTCTGTGGAGCCCCATGATGATGAATAGAAGAAATGGAGAGGAAGCTTAGATCTCTCTGTTTGCACTTTACATTTGAGAAAAGGTCAACTTTTCCCGGGAAATTGTCGGTTTCAACCACCCCTTTCTTGGGCCTTGCGGTCGATTGGTGCCTTCTTGGGCAACTGCCATGAAAAAGACTTCCAATGGACTTCAATTCGGGTCATTTTACTTCCAATGATTTCCATGATGAAGTAACTTTACGAAGTCGCTTTTTGTTTATTTATCATCGCTACTGTGTCTAAGTATGATGTATGTTTTCTGAATTGCACTTGTTGAGCCTGTGTAATTGGTGGTTCTTAAATATGGTGCTGCGGCTGACTGGTTGCCTTGTTTTGCCACTCTTTATCTTTTCTTTGCAGATCAAGCGAGAAATAGCAACCATGAAGCTTATTCGACACCCAAATGTCATCCGTATGTACGAGGTTAGAAATTAGAGCCCTATTCCCTTGTTCTGGTGTTGTACTATAGGTCTTTTCATTGGTGGGTCGATTGGTATTGCTAGTAAATTGTATTTCTGGACTCTTAGTATAGTAATCTTTCTCACGCTATTATGCTCAAAAAGGGAATCATACCTGGCGCGTAGTTGTTTGATATCTTTGTTCATTTGGTCTGACTCTTCCTTCATCTATATTTGGTAATGTGCTGCTGCTTTTCTGTTTCAGGTGATGGCAAGCAAGACAAAAATTTACATCGTCATGGAATTCGTGACTGGTGGTGAACTTTTCGACAAAATTGTACGACCTATAATCTTAAGTCTTAACCTTGCTTTGCCTTTAATTACATGCTTGAGCATGAGGATTCAATACATTCTGTTCTTATGTTGCTACTTAAATCAGGCAAGTAGAGGGAGGCTGAAAGAAGACGAAGCAAGGAAGTATTTTCAGCAGCTTATAAACGCAGTCGATTATTGCCACAGTAGGGGTGTATATCATCGAGATCTAAAGGTATGAGAGTCGTTAATACTTTTTATGCATTGAATGTTTTCTTGATAAATATTTCCTTGACGGATGTGTTATCCCATATACTGTTATCAGCCTGAGAATCTGCTTCTAGATGCTTCAGGAGTCCTTAAAGTCTCAGACTTTGGATTGAGTGCATTGCCTCAGCAAGTTCGAGTAAGTATGATGATTTCATGGTTAAGTTGTCACAAATTTGCTCATTCATTCCTATTCTTGCAAGAAGTTGCACAATCTTCTGAACTGGATAATTTCTTCTGTCCTCTAGGAAGATGGGTTACTCCACACTACATGTGGAACGCCAAATTATGTTGCTCCAGAGGTACACAGTTTCTTTGCATTTAAAATTCATTTCTTAATAATTCACGAGTCCTCTGTTCTTGGTTTCTTATCTTGCACTTCTCCAGGTAATCAACAATAAAGGTTATGATGGAGCCAAGGCGGATTTATGGTCTTGTGGTGTGATTCTTTTTGTCTTGATGGCTGGTTACTTGCCTTTTGAAGATTCTAACCTCATGCAACTGTACAAAAAGGTTTGTTTTCTTTTCTTTTCTTTTCAGCACCAAATTATGAATGTGTATTTTTATTATAAAGCCCTTTTATTGTTCCCTTCTTTAGTTGAGTCCGATCTGGTATCTTGGCTGCTTTCGGCCATGTGAACTCTTTTGTATCTGGCTGTTTTCCTCGGTAATACGAGTGATTTTATGTTAATTTTTTTTATGAATGGGTATATATGGCATGCTTTTCTGTAACACAGGTCTATGTAGCTCACACTGGTTCGCTGTAAATTCATATTCAGTTCAAGGTCTTAGTAACTGTTACAAATTTGTAAGCAATCTTTCTTTGTCAATGTTTTACCTGAGAATATCTGTGGTTGCAGATTTTTAAAGCAGACTTCTCTTGCCCTCCGTGGTTCTCCACCAGTGGAAAAAAACTAATCAAAAGGATATTGGATCCTAATCCAGCTACGGTACAGCATCTTTAGTTTCTTTATAGCACGTTTTTCATCTTTTAAACCTTTGGGCTCCCCTGTTAATATTATTTGGTCCAGACTTGGTGAATTCACACCATCTACTTATGATAATGAAACAGCGAATCACTATTGCTGAGGTTATTGAAAATGAGTGGTTTAAGAAAGGGTACAAGCCACCTGTTTTTGAACAAGCTGATGTTAGTCTTGATGATGTGGACTCCATCTTCAATGATTCAGCGGTAAGGTTCTTGTTCCTTATCCTGCACCATGCATGAATGGTTCTTAATGCACATTTTGCAAAGTTCAAAATGATAATTTCTGTAAATGGACAGGACACTCGGAATCTTGTTGTGGAGAGGAGAGAAGTTGGACCTGTTGGTCCTGTGGCCCCTGTGACCATGAATGCTTTTGAATTGATCTCTACATCTCAGGGTCTCAATCTCAGTAGTCTGTTCGAGAAACAGATGGTATGTTTTTATAGGCACTGCATATTTATAGTCATGAAGCAATAAATCCTTTTGAGTTTAAGTTTAAACAACATCCATTTGTTGTCTTCATGTTCTTCTCTATGTAAATGTTTCTGGTTTCCCAGATAAATATGTTCATTACTAGTAGCCGCATGCTTGAGAAATGACAGTTTAGTAAATCATCTATTCTTGGTAGTTTTGTTCAGCTTTGAGTTGATCTTGGTGTTTGGCAATCATGGTGTAGCATATGCGCTGTATGTCTTTTAGGCCCCTTTTAGGTTGTTAGTTGATAGCGTGGAATACATATCAAACTTATGTTTTCCATTTTGAAATTAGGGACTTGTTAAACGTGAAACTAGATTTGCATCAAAAAGTTCTGCTAATGAGATAATGACACAAATTGAAGCAGCAGCAACACCTTTGGGTTTTGACGTGAAGAAGAACAACTTCAAGGTTTGATATTTTCTCTCAGTTTTTTCAAAAGAAATGGTTGTCCATTTTGTTTTATGTGCTCCCCTTCTGTAACCTAGATGAAGCTTCAAGGAGAGAAGACTGGGCGTAAAGGTCACCTGTCAGTTGCAACTGAAGTAAGTTGAATCATTTGATTGCTACATTTTTTCCGTAAACTTCAGTTGAATGGGAGGTATTCATCTATCCATATCTTTCGTTTCAGATCTTTGAGGTTGCTCCTTCTCTTTACATGGTTGAGGTTCGCAAGTCTGGTGGTGACACCCTGGAATTCCACAAGGTATGGATTTTTTATTGTGTTTACTTTGTTGGACAATAAGTTGGCATCTCAATAAGCAATTGTCAGCTTCTCTTCACAAATGCCTTAATATTTAGATCGGGTCTATGGTCCTTATTCTGATAAGTGAAAGACGTGTTGCAGTCCGGTCCCTTATCCATCGGTACCATATATCAATGCCCTTATCGACGGCTTGATGACTGTTTGTTATTGTTTGTGATGCAGTTTTACAATAACCTGTCGACTGGATTGAAGGATATCGTTTGGAAAACAGTTGATGAAGAAAAGGAGGAAGGAAACATACAGATTGAAAGCACAAGTTGAAACAGGTATGTGGGTGTGAGGAAATGGGAAAGTACTTTCCTTACAACTGCAAGAGTCATTCCAAAAAAAATAAAAAAATAAATAAAGAGCAACAAAACTGCATGAAAGAGGCACATCTGTGCTTCTTTCTAGTAGTGGCCATATCGAAGTGTTGTCGAATCACCTTAACATATACGAGATCGCCATATTTGGGGGAGCAAGTGAAACCCATTTGACAAAAACTATCCTTGGAGGCCATAGACATGTAGGAGTTGTGCCTTCCAGATATTGTCAGCAGAAAGTTTGTTATGTGTTGTTTCTAACATGCAGCTTTTCCATTGTCCAGCAGGTTTACTTGATAATAAATGTCTGTTGACCTCAGCTTGGTCCTGGGAGCTGCAATGGGATTGGGATATCTGTCTACTGCTAGTACCTATGGTTTAGTCTTTACAAAGGACTAGAAAGTTTGATGCATATATCGGAGCAACAAAAAATAAAATGTTGAGTGCATATATATTATAGTTGTGGGTGTGTTGCAGTAGAAGCAGCTACTAAGAATAGGCTGTTAAGACAGCATATTATGAAACTATAATATGAAGTCTGTGCTTGTAAACTTGGACCTGTGAATGCGAAGCCTGCCACTGTGGCGAGTTTCTCTGCTTTGTTTTGTTCGAGTGAGTAGGATCAAAACTCACCAACCGGGATTGCAGATGGGAAAACAGTAAAATAGTGCGGTTTGTTTTGTCTGTGAAAATGGGAAGCTGGTGAGCCATATTCTAGATCAGAGAATAACAAAATTGTATTCTCTGCAAGTTAAAAAAAAGATTCCTTCTACGGTTACTAGTCTGTAAGTTAAAAGTTAGTTGAAGTAGAAAGAAGATCTAGTTAGTCATATAATGCGTTACCATGTTCACACGAATGTTCAAACAAATCATACTCAATTGAGAGTCTTTTTCGTGCGAGTCACATCTATGAAGAATATTTTTTTTAGAGGTCGAGGACTGCTACTATACTTCTATGGACCATCGTTCTTGGTAACCTCCATAATTTAGGTTGTGCTTGTTGCTAAGCTAGATTGTCATTGGTAACATTAATAAGTTTGCTAAGTGATACTAACCATCAAAGCCCTATGGTTTATAACTCAATGCAAGAATGAGACTATGGCATGCCCATGACGTAGAGGAATCAACTTGAACTGATGAAAAGAGATTGAGATATCCGAATGATTCTCGCTTTGTCATGTTCTTACCACTTTCAATTTGACCAACTCCTCACCTTTTAACCGGACACTCTTAGAGGTAATGACCAACATATGCTAAGATTGTACAATGGTGACTTTGGAATGCTGTCTCTAGCATGATACTTGAGTCCCTTTATGTGCCTCCGAAGCTTATTTCTTTGCATGCACTACATGGTATCCTACCTTCATCGCAAGCATTGCGGACTTGTGGTTTGAATTGTGTGACAGGTTTGTCATGTTTGTAGAAACTAGAAAGAGATACTTTTTTTCATATTTAAAAGAATATCAACTTCAATCAAAATACCAATAAATATGATAAATTTTTATGTTTTTATGACATATATTTGAATTGCTTACGACCTAGATCGATACTCATCGAGTTATCGTCGAAACGTGTCGAATCCGGCCCAGCTAGAGGTGGCAATTGGATCGGATTCGCGGATTCGTGGATTGGATTGGTGGATCCATGGATCAAATGGATTGAATCCAATGGATTGGTGGATTCATGGATTGGATCAAATGGATTGGTGGATTGATCCATGAATCCAAATGACATCCAAGGCTTGGACCAAAATGTAAATTTTGAAAAGTTTAGGTACTAAAATGTCATAATGAAAAATTTTAGGTACCAAAATGTAATTTTTCAATGATATTTTTCGTATAAAATATAAATTTTAGGTACCAAAATGTAAAATAAAAAAATATAGGTACCAAATCGTAATTTGCCATTTGGATCCATGGATTGATCCATGAATCCACCAATCCAATTGGATTTGGATCAAATGGATTGGATTTAAATGGATTGGATTAGGTGGATAATTTGGTAGATGGATTGGATTGGATTCATGGATTTGGATCCTAATTGCCACCTTTAGGCCCAGCCCAGTCCAACCATGGAATCTACATTCTACGTTAGCAAATACCATTTTCCTATTCGGTGGGTATGGGCCAATGTATCGCCCGGCGGCGAGGAGGCCGGCAAACAATATGATCCACTTCTGACTTCCCAGTTCAAATCGAACGTCCGACGTCACCAATCCGAAAAAGGACAAGGTCGTCTAAAAAGCTTTGACTCGGACGTTACGCGCCACGCAATCACTCTGATTTCTCACTCGCTATAAAACCAACCAACTCCCTCGCATCTCTCGCTCTTTTTTTTTCCCGAAAGCGTCGAAACCAAAATTTTTGCCTCCCACAAGCGCCAGCGCAATGAGGGAAGAAGCTATCAGCTCCGGCGGGACCAAGGATCCCACTTCTGCAGCGGCCAGGTACCCGAAACCACACTTCCCTACTCCTGCTCTTGCTCTCTTAGGGTTTCTATTGCCTTGCTAATTCTGCGTTTCTGCGGATCGAGGGGGAAATTAGGGTTTCAAATCTACTAGCTTTGGTCAATTTTAGGATTCAATTTCGGGGCGTTTGCTCTTTGTCACCGTTAAAATGATGAAGGGCGGGAAACATCTGCCAATTCTTTGAGCTTTGCCCGCAACGAGGGCTGTTTGTTAGGTGTTTGGGCTCTTTCCTTGGAGCTCGGTATTTTGGTGGGCAGGTGATTGTCATACTTCAACTATATGGCGACTGATGGTTTCGGTGGAAGATTTGACTAAGATAAAAGGAAATGCAAATATGCAATTGAATACAATAGCTTCCTACTTTGTTCACCCTTCTTTTTCTCCCTTCTTTTTGATGAATGATAATACTGTAGCTGATGACATTGTCTTAATTCTTACATGCAGAAGATTAAATAGGAATCTCAAGTCTGGGGACTAGGGTGAAAACGATTGCAGTACTATGACTCAATGTTCTAGAGAAATTAATTCTGTTAAAACTTTCATTTAAATCGCATGTATTTCCTGCGGGTTGGTCGGCATCTCACTCTTGGATGATAAGTCGGGTGGCAAATAGATTCTTTAGTCTTCTTTACTGGTGTGCTTGTTGCGGAAGAAAAGGAGCACCATTTGCTTATTCCTGTGTTTTGGTTTTGTTTCCTTGTTTGATAAAACGATGATTAGGATTTGTAAGTTTTTGCACTTAGTATACTCTTTTTTGTGAAGTTAGTTATTCTATCTTTCAAGATTGTGCCATTAGGTTAAGGTGACTGGCTGGCCCATTAACTATGTTACTGTTTGTGTATATACTATGTTACACTCTTAGCTAACTTGAATGGCCTTAATATTCCCTGAAAAATCAAATGATGAAACCTAAATGAATTTTAAGTGTAAAGGTCTGAATCAGGAGTGCTGTAGTTTCTCCTTGCCTGATAACTTTTTCAATGCATGACAGTGTATAAACTTTATTTTGTATGTTTCAAATACTTTCCCCTATTTGCTTGGTGAGAAGGTTATGATTATTGCATCTGAGTCCAAGTGTTGGGTGAATAATTATTGTACCTTTTTTACTCGTGTTTTATCCATGTGTCACCATGCTTGTTTTATCTCCCCAAAATTTCTGAATGGTGTATGTGCATCTTACCTTATAGTTCCGCTGGTGCGTCTTCACGTGCCGGACCTGTCAATGGTGGCAAAAAAGAGAAGTCCAACAATGCTCTTGATTCCAGCATGGCTTCTCCGTCTGTCATCCGTTCTAAACAACCTGGGACTTCTACTCTTGGTTCAGCAAGACTTGCATGTAGGCCATGGGAGAGAGGCGATTTATTAAGGCGCTTAGCTACATTTAAACCAATAAATTGGTCTGGAAAGCCTAAGGTACTGTACCAAGTTGCTTGTAGTATCCATGGGTCGATGTTGCATCCTCTTGTTTTCTTTGAAGAATCATACCAGCATTGTATTATCTCCTAATACAAGAGAATACAATAACAGTTACCTACTAAGGAAACCCATATCCAGAATACGGGGGAAAATTTAATCAAATTCCAAGAAACACAAAACTGTGAAAGAACAATCGAGGATAAAAAGATAAGGGTATTCTCGGTTTGCAAACTGAATTTGTGCAAATGAGCAATGCACAGGAAGTTAGATATCAGGGTTTTGCCAGCATAGTAGTCATGGTCCCTGAATTCGGCTTTGAAACCTTGTAGAGTTGTAGTTTTCTAATTTTCATGCCTTGTCTAAACAAAGGATGAAAATGTTTTTCTAGCCTGAAAGTTGTCTCTATTTTGTAATGGATTGCAGGTTACCAGTTCATTGGCGTGTGCTCAAAGAGGTTGGATGAATGTTGATGCTGACAAAATTGTTTGTGAATCCTGTGGTGCATGTCTGAGTTTTATGCTGTTATCTTCATGGACTGTCACTGAAGGTTTGTTATCTAGTAACGTGCTCCCTTCCTGTTCATATTTGTCTGATGAGCTCAAGACTGGAGGAGTTCTTTTAGCTGGCATTTGAATACTACTATATATTGATTTTTTCTGAAGAGTCAAGTCCATAGTCGGGTTGCCCATTTTTGAATCCAGCCTAACTAGATGGAGCAAGATGTTGTGTGAGGCAGTGCAAGGATGGGTAGAATAGATATTGGCTTATCCTTTTTGTTCCGCATCAAAAAAACATCCACATTTCAGAAAATAACTATATGGGAATACTATAACGGGGATGCTTGGTTTTACCTGAATGTGCCATTACCTTGTCTCTAAAAGTGAATATGTGTTCGTTAAAAAAAAAAGTGAATATGTGTCCAGTTGTCCGTAGGCAAGGGCGAGGCAAGGCAAAGAAGATCTTGTTGGGTATAGTTTGACTAATCTTGAGAAAGTGAATATGGTCACTAATGCAGGGAAAAACAACAGCTAACTCTCATTTTGGGGTATGATTAGAACATCTAGTTGCTCCCAGCACTCTATCTGGTGTAAAGTACTATTGCATCATTGATGTTTATTTTTGGCTCATATGTTATTTTACTGTTGTCTAAGTTACATTAGCCGTGTGAACATTGACATGTGCTTTCTTCTTTTCAACTATTCCTGTCGTCCTTCGAACTGAAGTTGAAGATGCTGGAGAAGACTTTGCTAAGCAGTTGGATGCTGGCCACGAAGCTAACTGTCCTTGGCGAGGTCATAGCTGCCCTGAAAGCTTAGTGCAGTTCCCTCCCACTCCACAGTCTGCTTTGATTGGTGGATATAAGGACAGATGTGATGGACTTCTGCAATTTCAGTTACTTCCTATTGTTGCTTCATCTGCCATTGAGCTGATGCGCGTTTCTCGAGGTCCACTCCTAGATCGCTTTCTGTCTCAGTCTCAAAATCCTACTTTCGAAGGAGGAGACCTAAAGTCAGAGGGCTTGCAAGAACCTGGAGATGGAGCCCTCTGTCCATATTATATTGTAAGAGTAATCTATGCATATTGCTTGTTACCAATCGATATGGGTTGCACAATCAGTTATGAGCTGATGCCAAACCTCTTTCGTTGTTCGTTTTTTCTACTTTTCTAGGCCCAGAGGCTCATCAGTCTTTGTGGGTGGGAACCAAGATGGCTTCCGAATGTTCAAGACTGTGAAGAGCATTCTGCTCAATCAGCTCGAAATGGATATTCTTTTGGGCCTGCTCTGCCACAAGTTCATCCTTCGCGTGAACGTGGATGGAGCAACCAGGCACATACTGCTTCAGCCAAAAAAGACAACGGGAAGAAGAAAATGGTTGCTGTTGAGTCAAAATGTGATTCCAGGTCACCTTTATTGGACTGTAGCTTATGTGGTGCTACTGTGAGAATACTCGATTTCTTAACTGTCTCTCGACCTGCACGTTTCGCTCCAAATGATCTTCCTGATGGAAGCAAAAAATTGACCTTAACACGTGGAGTGAGTGCTGCTAGTGGAATTAGTGGTTGGGTTGCAGCTGATGATGCAGAAAAAGAACAGGCTGAAGACCGTGATGAAGTAGCAACTACAAATGAGGGAAAGCTGCCAATGAATGCAGACGTCGATTTGAATCTCACAATGGCTGGTGGTTTATCTTTTACTCCTTTGGACAAGTTGATGGATGACGATAACCTGGATGATGTGGATATGGGCAGAGATCTAATGATTGGTCAACCAGCTGGGAGTGAGGTTGGCGACCGTGCGGCTTCATACGAGTCCCGAGGACCTAGTTCTAGGAAGCGGAGCTTGGACATAGTTGGTAGCTCAGATGATAGGCGACACTTGATTTATCCTGCTGACAGTGTTGAAGGAACTGTCATTGACCGTGATGGTGATGAAGTTACTGATGGGAGGCAGTTTTCTGCTGGGCCTTCAAAACGAGTTCGTGATACAGAGTTTTTCGATTCACACAGTTCATATCCAAGATACTCCTCTGGTGCTGGTCCTAGCCATTCGGTTGGTCTTGAGATTAATATGGATGGAAACAGATTTGGTTCTTCTTTTCGTCGAAATACTGACCACCAGGTTGCAGGTCCATCTACTAGGGATTCAACACGTGCATCATCAGTCATTGCCATGGATACCGTTGGTCATGGTGGGGATGATGACTCGATGGAAAGTGTTGAAAATTATCCTGGGGATGTTGATGATGTTCATTTGCCTTCATCGAGTACATATGGGAATCTTGATATGAATGAGACTTCAGAACTAAATAATAGCAATCAGGCCCAGCCAAGCATTGGCTTCCGACCAGTTGTGGCCCCAGGGGAAATGGTTGTCAGTAGTACAAATGACGGTGAGGAGATTTTCAATGCTGGAACAATCACAGCTCAGGCTAGGGATGGGTTTAGTTTTGGGATTAGTGGGGGTAGTGTTGGTATGTGTGCTAGTCACGAAGCTGAAATTCATGGGGCTGATTTCTCCGTGCATAGAGCAGATAGTGTGGTTGGCGACATGGAACCTAGAGTTGAAGATGTTGACAACCAAGGTCAGACTGGTGAATCGGTTCCTGATCCAGGTTTGATGGACGAGATTGTTCCTGATGAGATAAACAGGGAAGATCCTCATGGGGGTGATAGCCAGGAGATGCTGTCTCGATCTGTTGAGAGAGCTGATAGCGGATCGAAAGTAGATGGTTCAACTAAGGCAGACTCTGTTGGAAGTGGTGGAGAAAAGGGAAGCAGGAGCAGTAAGAGAGTAGCAACAGGAGAAAATGCCCATCCTTCTCTTTCTTGTAATGCCGTCATTGACTCTGGCTGTGAAACAACTGCTAATAAGGGCAAAAAAGCTGGGAAATCCTCATCGACAAACAATGGTACTTGCATAGAGTCAAATTATGCAGTTGCCAATGGGATAGGTTAGTTCTATTCACGTCCTTCCTAGTTGTCCTCCATCCGTTAGTATATCTACCATGACCAGGATTTCTTATTGATCAAGATGATGAATATATCTTGTTGGAACTAGTTGCCCTCTGATGTTTTGAACCTTCACTCCTTCATGCTGTGTCTCCTTAAATTTTTTTGGGCGGTAGTCTTCCTTGTTGATATTTGACTACTTGCTTGATTTGCAGAACCTCCAAAAGGTGAAAGCAACTATGAGGAGCCTATGGAGTTTGATCCAATTATTCATCACAATGAGTTCTGTCCATGGGTGAATGGAAATGTCGCTGCTGCTGGCAGCAGTAGCTGTGGTCCTGGAAGCAGCAATGTAGTTGATACTGATGCCCTTTGTGGGTGGCAGCTGACTTTGGATGCGCTGGATGCAGTTGGATCTTTGGCTAATTTCGCCATTCAACCCGTACAGTCTGAATCAGCTGCATCTCTGTACAAGGTCAGCTTTCTCTTGCCAGTTAGAAGAAAAGAACTTCATGATGCTGTTGGATTTCCCTAAATCCGACTACTGTTTTTCCAATAGTTACTACTGTTATTAGTTTGTGAAAATGAAAATATCTGTTTTTAAACCTACTCCATAGTCGACATAACTTTTAATCAACTATCAAACACGTACCTTTCATCCTGTAGCTGCTTTTAAAAAAGAAAATGAAATGCACTTCCTTCCATGTTCTCTATCCGCAGTTACTTCTCTGGATTCAAAATTCCAATGCACAATCCCTATCTCCTTTTGCACCCTTTTCCCCCTTTAGCCACAAGGTCCTGCTTACTTAGTCGCCTTTGAACAATTTACACTCGCACTCCACAACCTTGATCTAATTGAAGATGGGTGTTGATTGAAATTTACTACTTTTAAAGCCAAATGAAAAGAAAACAAAAACATCTTGCAAGATTGAAGCGTGATGCCCCTTTTTCTCCCTCTTGGTTCCCTGGTTAATGTGTAGCTTTCTACATTCTATGGTGCTTGTAATTAAAGTAAATTTGGGTTCTCACAGGATGATCATCAAACTCCTGGGCAAAAGCTTATTCGACGACCTTCCATGAGCAGAAGCCATGGTCAGCAATGAGATGTGTCATCCAAGAAAGGTAAAAAAAGCTTCTATTGAGTTCTAGATCTCCGGCTCGGACACTGTGAAGGTTATAGGGCGTGATTATGAGAATGCAATGGTGTTGATCTGCTAATCTTTCAATGTGCAGCAGGACTGGAAACTACGTTCCCAGAAATCGATAAAATGAAAACCGATCTGTGGATTCCATGATGAGACGGGTGTGATATGGTGGTTGTTCTATTCTAGTATGGTAGTGGTTCACAATCTTGCCGACGTTATATGTATGCTGGGGTTTAAGCAAGGACACCGGTCTTACAGCAGCATAATAACTCGAACTTTAGTTTTCTTTCTTTCTTTCTTTACGTCATCTGTCTTTCAGTAGTCCCAGTCTGTTTGAAAGAAGAATGAATCCTATTGTTATTATTGCTCATCGCCTCCCCTCAGCCGATCAAGATCAACGAGGACCGGGGCGATGGCTTGTTTAAAGTATATGCTGTCTTTCTAGGTTATATATCGAAGACGTTTGTTCAGCTAGTCTTAATAATAGTTCGTTGGTGGATAGCCACTGTTTTCATGGGAAACTTTTTCTTATCCATTGTGTAATTGGGGTGGATTGTGTGGCGTGCATCATTGCCCATCGACCTTTGTAACGTTCTTTTACGTCAAGACGGTTGTCCATTATCAATCGTTCCTGTCTGTTCAATTCAAACAAGAATATCATATTCAACTCTTGTATTTGATCGTTAGATGAATAGAGTGTCATTTTTCTTAAATCTAACTACGGTAATGTGTACAAGTGGGTAAATGATTGATATTGTAACACCATTTTTGTTACGACTCGGTATTGTAAATTAGTCTGATAGATTTATTACCACTTTCGTGATATATCTGAAAAATAACCTCTATGTCGCTAACGTCAATCACAATATAATCATGCCAGCATTATATGTCGTTGTGGTGTGCCACAATATACCTCAATCAGCAAAAGACAAGTTAGATTAAAGAAAATGTTCTCAAATTTCCGGTCACTCTGAGAATTTTTCTTGTTCTTTGAAAGTATCTTGCACAGATCCGAAGCCGACTGCATGTCTTTATCTAGGTTGACCCACTTTTTTTTCTTTCCCTTTTTGTTATTCGCTTGCGCAAAGTTGCAAACACGTAATAATACAAAATAGTTAACGTGATGAACTCTAGGGGACGGTAGTGGGGCCGGTACACTAAACCGTTTGTCAAGAATATGTTGATTTTGATAATTCATTGATTTGAGATGTTGAGAGAAATTCAATAATGTATTTTATATCTTTTAATAATATAATTTTTTAATTAACGCTAATTCCTATAAGTTTGAAGTTTGCACAAATTCAACTGAACTCTTTCATTACCCAATATAAAAATTTCCCACATTATGGGATAACGGTGGAAGGCCCATCCTTTCGAGTGGGTATCGGGTGGGTACCATATAAAACAACAGAAATCATATCTCTAAGCATACTCATACCAATGGATATTGGGCGGATATTCGTATACTTACGGATATGTTATATACTTAAGCGTAAAACTCCAAAAATTTTACATAGCTTCAACAACATGCTAATAAAGCAGATTAGTAGACTTTGAAAAGAAACTAAAAAGAATTGAGAGATTATTTGTCACTTTTCCATTAACGATAAAACGCTTTGGATTTGAGAAGAAGAATTCATTTAACGGCTAGTGGAGTTTGATTTGATGGCTCGAGAAGACGAGGAGTCTAAGAGGATTGGAGGAACGGGTCGGGAATGGGAATTCAGAAGCGTGTAATTGGGAAATGACATGACATCGTTAAAAGCGAGAACGAGATTCGATAAGTGATCAAGATTCAACGGCCAAGATGGTATCTGGGTATTGGGTTACTGCTGGATGGGTTCGAGGTGGATATTAAAATATCCATACTTTTAGGGGTGAAAGCTTGTCCCTGAAGACCCACTGACCCGTCCCGTCCCTAAGGGTCGGGACAGGTCAGTTTGTCTACAAGGACAAATTAGGGACGAGTCATTTGTTGACCCTGTAAGGGCCGGGACGGGTCGGGACAACTTAGGGACGGGTCACGTTTTGACCATGTGACCCTTAGCAACAACAAATATCTCATACTTCATTGGACCTTTTTGTAAAGTTTTAAAAGTTTAGGTACTAATTTGTAAAAATAAAAAAATTTGGGTACCAAAACGTAATTTTACCATCAAAATTTATGGACTTATTTGTAAAAAAAATAAAATTTAGGTACTAAATTGTAAGAAAAAATAATTTTGGGTACCAAAACGTAGTTTATAAAAAAGTAGTGTGTTGATTAGGGTCGACCCACTGACCCGGCCCGTCCCGTCCCGTCTCAACCCTTGAGGGTCAGACAAGGTCAATAAGGAGACAGGGAGGGACGGGACGGGTATACATCTTGACGGCTCAAGATAGGGTGCATAACCATGGGTTATGCACCCATCAATAACCAAATCTGGACCCTTCATTTAGAAAATCCAGATCTAAGGATGGAGAATTAAAAGCTATTTTTATTTTCACTAGTTTTCTTAATTGACTCATATCTTTTTCGTTTTAACTCGGATTTTAATTTTTTTTGCACAGATGGAACGAGTTCACCGTGCTCTACAAAATGAGATCAATTTTCAATATTTTTTTAGGGAAAAAAATTCTGGCCTCTCGGTACCAACTGCATACCATATGGTATCTTCTTCGTTTTTAATTCGTTTTTGAAAACGTTTGCACAGCAGGGATGAGTTCATCATGATCTACTGGATGTACAAATTTTTGGGTGAACGAATTACAGGACAAAAAAATACCACACAATACCATACAATACCACCCTGGTACGGGGTGGTATTGTATGGTATCTTCTTCGTTTTTAATTCATTTTTGAAAACGTTTGCACAGAAGGGACGAGTTCATCATGATCTATTGGATCTACAAATTTCTGGGTGAACAAATTACAGGACCAAAAAATACCACATAATACCATACAATACCACCCTGGTACGGGGTGGTATTGTGTGGTATACAATGTTAAAAGTCGTAAATTACAATTAATATACTTCTACTATCATGTATTCAACCATCCTACAGTATTGGTTTGTTCATACCACCATGGTACGTTTTTCAAAACATAGGTATGCTTTTATTTCAATACCAGTCAATACCATATGGTATAGGCTGGTAAAAAATGGCTCAATTTTTTTTGTTCGAAAAATATATTAAAGTGGATATCATTTTGAAGAGCACAATTAATCTGATCTAACTGTGCAAAAAAAATTAAATTTCGACTTAAAATGAGCGAGAAATCGTCCGTCAAAGATTAAAGAGGGAAAAATTAAAGGCTTTTCATGAGAGAGAGGATGCTGATGTCATGCTGATGTGGACGGGTTACTCATGGTTACTCACCATAAGGTTACTAACCTGATCCATTCCCCATCTTGACCCTTCAAAGACGAGTCAGAACGGGACAGGGACGGACAAATTTTCAGCCCTACATACTTTGCACGTGTCCGATAGCCACACATTCCGGATTCTGTCCTAACCTTCCCGAAATTCGATCAATGCGAATTTTACCTCTATTGATCTGTTCAGATCGGGATGAATACCGAATTCAGTGAATTTTTCCTGCCAACCCTAGTTTTGCTTTAATTTGTTTGGCCGCCGCCGCTGCCTAATACCGACACATGCATCTTTCCACCTTTGGCCGCCGCGAGATACCACAAATGTGGCGATGAAAATTTTGTTAATCTTCTTGACGAACATCGGCATGAAATTGTTTTCCGTAACCTAAACTTTGGTCACAATATTTGGTCACTAAACGACATAACTTCCCCTTCTATAATTACTTAATTAGTAAGTATAGATCTCTTTACGTACTACACAAAGAAAACCCAACCCAATCCAACCCAGCCAAACTCAACGTGACGATGGAACAAACCTACATCCTCCTAGTAGTATACTCCACCATCCTCATCATCACCTGTCAAATATAACCAAAATATGAACGAGAATCAACACAAGACACCAGATTTACGTGGTTTCCCCAACGTTAGAACGTTGAGACTAGTCCACGGCACAAGGCAATTGATCTCTTATTATGTGAAGTTTTCAACTCTGCCGTCAAGCCTCTGTTCGGCCACACTTAGGCTTAAATAGCCATCTACCCGAAACCCTAATATGTACAAGACAATTACATAAAGGTACCTAAACCTTTAGTTTCTAACACCCTCCCTCAAATTGATGGTGCTGTCTCACCATCAATTTGTGTGCTAGAAACCAATGACGAGCAGAAGCCAAAGCCTTAGTTAACAAATCAGCAGTCTGATCTTCAGAAGTGATGTAGACTAACTCCAAACTGCCTTCATTCACCAACTGCCGAATATAGTGGACATGTACTTCAATATGCTTTGTACGATCATGCAGCACCGGATTAGTAGCAATCCGTATCGCACTTGTATTATCAGCATACATGCGAATAGGCAGGCGACACTCAACCCCAAAATCAGCGAACAAGCGCTGTAACCAAACCAACTCCGACGCCGCCTCACTCATGGACCGATACTCCGCTTCAGTGGAGGATTTAGCAACCCTATCCTGCTTCTTGCAACGCCATGAGACAAAGGAATTACCAAACTGTATACACCAACCGGACGTAGAACGACGAGTGTCCAAGCAACCTGCATAATCAGCATCAGCATAGGCAGTGAGAGCAGCCTCCCCATTCGATGGGAAGAAAAGACCGACAGTCGGTGTACCCCGGAGATATCGGAGAATGCGCTGAACAGCCAGCCAATGACGGGTACGAGGTGCAGACATGTATTGACTAACCACCTGCACAGCATACGCGATATCGGGACGAGTGTGAGTAAGATAAATAAGGCTCCCAACAATACTCCGATAGAGTGAACCATTGGCCAACAGATCACCAGCAGACTTTGTCAGCTTCAAGTTCTGCTCCATGGGAGTACCACATGGGTCACACTCATCCATCTGTGCTTCCTCGAGTAAATCTGCAACATATTTTCTTTGAGAAACAAGAATCCCAGCTGCCGAGCGATCAAACTCGAGCCCCAAAAAATACGACAAGCTGCCAAGCTCCTTGAGGTTAAAGGCAGCTCGTAAGGTGGAAGTAAGGTAGCGAATACCCTCCTGATCATCCCCACTAATAACCATGTCGTCCACATAAAGGAGAAGAAGAGTAAGACCATGTGCTGTATGCCTGAGAAAGAGAGATGGATCATTATCACTCTGAACGAACCCAATACGCAAGATAGTAGCTTGAAACTTTTCAAACCACGCCCGAGGAGCTTGCTTAAGCCCATACAGAGAACGACGGAGCAGGCACACCATAGACTTATCACCCTTTTTATAGCCCGGAGGACGTTCCATGTAAATCGTCTCTTTCAAGTCACCGTGCAGGAACGCATTTTTTACATCGAGTTGAATTAGAGGCCAACCTTTCATTGCAGCGACTGCAATAAGACTGCGAACCGTCTGCATCTTGGCCACTGGCGCGAAAGTCTCCTCATAATCAACCCCATATTGCTGCCGAAATCCCTGAGCTACCACCCGCGCTTTGTGTCGTTCCAAAGTACCATCTGGGAGAAATTTTAACGCATATACCCACTTGCTGCCAATGACCGTAACACCAGGGGGCCTAGGAACTAAGTCCCATGTATGTTGAGCCTCCAACGCAGTAGTTTCCACATCCATAGCCCGCTCCCAAGGATCAATGCCCTTGGCTTGTTTATAGGTGGCTGGAACTAGCATAGGAGACATAGCAGAATATGCATAAAAATCAGCATGATGTGCGGGGGGTTGTCCCCGAGTGGAGCGAGTAGAACGACGAAGCTGAGGAGCTTCAACAACCTCAGTCGACGAACCCGAGGATGAACCAGAGGAGGAACTAGTGGAGTGGGCCGAAGGACTAGACGACCCGGACGACGAGGAGCTTGTAGGAGTGACTGGTGGTGAAGGCGATGGTGGATCCACATCGTCTGGATCATGAGCAATCGGAGGAAAGGTGGGAAGAGGCACCAAGAAATCCCACTGAGTATCATCTGAAGAGTCACCAGACCCATAATAAAGGGTATGCTCGAAGAAGAAGACATGACAGGAGATACGTAGCCGACGATTCTCCACATCATAACAAGCATAACCCTTATGTTTATCACTATATCCAACAAACACACACTTGGCAGCCTTAGGTGAAAGTTTAGTGCGCTCCTTACGGGGAAGAAGAACGTAACAAATGCACCCAAAGACTCGAAGCCACGAATAGTCAGGAAGACGAGAGAAAAGAACCTGATACGGGCTTCGCTGACCAAGAACCGGAGTGATCTGACGATTAATTAAGTATACCACAGTGTGAATAGCTTCAACCCAAAAATTTGGAGGGACCCGAGAATGGAACAATAAAGCACGGGTCAGCTCCAAAACATGTCTATGCTTCCGCTCCACCAACCCGTTCTGCTGAGGAACGCCCGGGCAGGATTGTTGAGGAAGAATCCCTTGTTGCCGAAACATATCATGCAATGGATGGGAGACAAATTCCCCTCCTGGGTCCGATCGCAGGATTTTAATCCGCTTACCAAACTGAGTAAAGACCATCTGAGTGAAGTCTCGAGCCACATCTAGAAGTTCAGACTTTTGACGCAAAAAATAGACCCACGTGAACCGGGTGACATGATCCACAAAGAGTGCAAAATACCTGAACCCGAGACGAGCAGTAACAGGGGAAGGACCCCACAAATCAGTATGTACTAGGTCAAATGGCTCAGAATACTCTGTAGAGCTATTACCAAAAGAACGCTGAGTAATTTTAGCTTGCACACAGTGAACACAGTCAGGAAATGGAATAGACCGAATAGTACCAGACAGCCATTTGTTCTTAAACATCTCAAAAAGTCGTGATTTATGAGGATGGCCCAACCGAAAATGCCATAAATCCCAATCCGACAACTGAACTGAATAACTAATGTCATTAACAGAAACAACTGAATGCAGAGGAGCTCTTCTTGAGGATGACGCAACACTCACGTCCGCCCCATGCATCCCATGCAACGTAGGCTGAGCAGTTCCCCCACGATCCACCGGACGACAGGACAAACGATCCAGCATATACACCCTGCCACGCTTACTCCCGCTCCCTATCTCCCTGCCCGTCTTCACCTCCTGCACAATGCAACCATTAGCATCAAAAACAATGCGGCATCCCTCCTCTGCAAGCTGACCCACAGAAACTAAGCTAGGGACCAATTTCGGCACATAGTATGTATTGGGCAAGACTAGTTGATTAGTTCGAGCAGTCCCAATACCATCCACAGAAAGAGGAGAGCCATCCGCAACCTGTAACCTAATCCCAGTACTCGGCCTAACATGAGTAAGAGTAGACTGAGAACTTGTCATATGATTCACAGCTGCCGAATCAATATGCCAGAGAGGAGAGGACTGAGAAACCATACCCGTAGCATAGGTAGCAGGAGCAAGATCAGGAGAAGCCATTTCCTGCAGAGCTTCACGGATAAGACGACGAAGATCCTCAGAGGACACCCCGCCTGAACTAGAGGACGCAGTTGGTGGCGGAGCTAAAGTCGTAGCATAGGCACCGCCTCCCACCGAACGAGGCCCCCCAGCTGACTGTCGAGGACCCGAGTATTGCCCACCAGAGGAGCGAGACCCACCAGCACCATTTCCATGAGACTTGCCCCGACGAGCCAGTATGGGACAATCACCAATGAGATGACCAAGAGCTTTACAGTAGTTGCAGTGAATGCGTTTAGGACAACGAGCCTGAACATGCCCTGGCGCCTTACAGTTGTAACAAATTATCTCACCCGAAGAAGTGCGCCCAAACTGAGGGCGGCCAGACTGGACCGCAAAAGCAGCTCCCGACTCCGTAGAATGAACATCAAGCCGGGCTTGGCTACGAAGTCGCGTTTCCTCCCGAACAAGCTCGCCAAGAGCCTCCTCCACAGTAGCTACATTGCGGTGAAGAAGAGAGGCTCGAATCCCCTCAAAGGCGGGATTAAGCTTCATGAGAAATGTCATCAATCGAGAACTCGCACGCTCCTTCAATACCTCAGCCGAGGCGGCAGCAGAGACCAGTGACGTGGTCAACATGTCCTGCTCTGTCCACAAGGTCAAAGCTTCCTGGTAATAGGTCCGGACATCCCTATCACCCTGCTGCAACGAAGCAATAGCAATTTCCACCTCAAATTTCCGAGACACATCAGATTGAGAGTGCATGGCATTGATATGCTTCCACATAGCATGAGCAGTGGGGAACGCACGCAGACTGAGTGCCATACTTGGTTCAACCGAAGAGAGAATCCATGTCATAACTTGGGCATTGCTGATAGCCCAATCAGACCGAGCCTTGGCAGTGGCAGGCTCACCTGGCTCAGGGAGAGAGCCATCAAGAATTGGAAGAAGCCCCTTCCCTTGCACAAAAATACGACAGTGCAGTTCCCACAAGGGAAAATTCTTCCCGTTAAGTCGAACAGAGACTGCGTCAAGTTTCGAACTATCCATGATCAGAAATAACCACCAAGGAAAATCAACTCCCAACAACCGAGAGCCCAACACCAAGGGAAATAAACAGCAAGCGACAGAGGAGCAACCAAACCAAACAATCAAGGTAATACAGCAGCAGAGGAATCGTGAGATAGCTTGCAGCAGTAGCAAGTGATGGAATCACAACACCCAACCACTAAAATTCAAGGGACCACTAAAATTCAAGGGAATGCAGCAGCACCAGCAAGGAACAACTCTAGGGAATACAACCCCCAACAACCGAGACACAAAGAGCGGCGGGCAATCGGCCACCGAGAGCAAAAGAAAATCCACCTGTACCAAAGCCGCACAATTACACACAAGAATCCCGACGTCCAGGACGAAGCCAAAGAAGAATACCCTAGCACAGCAACGACAGCCGCAGCAAAGACAACCTTGAACAGTCCACGAAAATGATCAGAGAAGCTCTGATACCATGTCAAATATAACCAAAATATGAACGAGAATCAACACAAGACACCAGATTTACGTGGTTTCCCCAACGTTAGAACGTTGAGACTAGTCCACGGCACAAGGCAATTGATCTCTTATTATGTGAAGTTTTTAACTCTGCCGTCAAGCCTCTGTTCGGCCACACTTAGGCTTAAATAGCCATCTACCCGAAACCCTAATATGTACAAGACAATTACATAAAGGTACCTAAACCTTTAGTTTCTAACATCACCCTCCTCGTAATGAAGCTCTTATCGCCCCGGCCGTCGACGTCGAAGACCCTCAACCCGCCTCCGTCGCCGCCGTCGTCCCTCCCCGTCGTCGGCCACCTCCTCCACCTCCTCCTCAACAACAACAAACAACCCATCCACCGAACCCTCCAGTCCATCTCCGCCGCCCACGGCAAGATCCTCCTCCTCCGCCTCGGCTCCCGCAGGATCCTCCTCCTCTCCTCCCCGTCCGCCGTCGAAGAATGCTTCACCCGAAACGACGTCGCCTTCTCCAGCCGGCCGCTCGAGATGGCCAGCACCAAGCACTTCCACTACCGCCACACCACCATCCTCGCCGCCCCGTACGGCGACCTCTGGCGCAGCCTCCGCCGGTTCATGACCCTCGAGCTCTTCTCCTCCCCCGCCGTCGCCAAATTCGCCGCCGTCAGGGAGGCCGAGGTCCGCTCCTGGCTCTGCCGGATCGCGGAGTGCTGCGGCGGCGGAGAAGGGGATGTGGGAAAGGTGGTGGAGATGAAGGCGAGGATTGTGGAGCTGATGTTCAACGAGACGGCGATGATGACGGTGGGGGAGTGGTTTTGCGGGGAGGCGGCGATGGGGGAGTTCGAGGAGTCGGTGAGGCCAGGGATTGAGTTGTCCGGCGTGTTTAATCCGGCGGATTTTTTCCCGGTGTTGAGGAGGTGGGTGGACGTGGTTGGGATAGAGAGGAAGATGGCGGGGTTGATGGGGAAAGTGGATGGGTTCTTTCAGGGTCTTGTGGACGGCCACCGCAAATGGAATAATAGTTATGGCGATGAGAAGAAGGTCGTGGCGGTGATGGATGAGATCTTGGCCTTGCAACACAGGCAGCCGGAAGTCTTCACCGATGAGATAATTAAGGGGATTCTGCTGGTAATCATACTAACTCTTTTAAGTTTTAACTAACTGAAGACTGCATGAAATTTCCGTTGTTTTTGGAAATTTTTCCTAAATACTACACTTATACTATAACAAATACTTACAAGACCATACTTATAAAATGCTCTCTCTTCAAAGTTTGGAGTGGTTCGCTCTAATGCTAAACGAACTAGAGTAGAGAGTGAACTAGTGTGGATCGCGACGGACTTAAGCAAATAAGCTCTCAACTGGGTGGATTGCGGCACACAGAAGCGAACCACACTTGCTCGCTCCCTGCAGCTCCAGGGATCTAGGTTATCCTATTATTAAATTTTTGTTTGCTACGATCAAATACTCGAGTGCAAAGTTACGATAGTTATAATTTTCAATCTAAGTTAGGTGTGTAGATCGAAAGTTCGAACGATGCTTCGATCTGACGCGTTCCAGGTTGTTCGTTTGTATTATTGTCGCGATCCCGGTAATTATTCGGGGCTGGATTGCTTCTGTCCGGCGCGATCCAGGTTAGTTGGTTTGGCACAATCTGGGCTGGATTGATGTAGATCGCTCTTGGCTTCAGCAAACTAATACCTATTTCGTTTGATACGGGAGTGAACCAATTCAAACTCTAGTATTTTGAAAGGAGAAAAAAAAAAAAACAATTGCGATATTGTGAGAATTTGTTAGAGGGAAAATTTCCGTTGCTCTCATAGTCATATATATATAAAAAAAATTCTTATACCGCCGCATGCAGGTATTGCTAACCGCTGGAACAGAGACCTCGGCCACGACACTGGAATGGGCAATGGCTCTGCTGCTCAACCACCCACAATCCATGGCCAAACTGCGAGCCGAAATCGACGCCACCGTCGGCCGCGACCGACTCCTCAACGAGCAAGACGTACCGAGGCTTCACTACCTCCAACACGTCATCAGCGAGACGCTCCGCCTCTACCCGGCGGTCCCGCTCCTCACCCTCCGCGAATCCTCGGCGGACTGCACCGTCGCCGGGTACGACGTCCCCAAGGGAACCATACTGCTGATCAACGCGTGGGCCATACACCGCGACCCGGAGGTCTGGGAGAACCCCACGGAGTTCGTCCCGGAGAGGTTTGCCACGGCGGCGGAGAGTGGCGGTGGGTGGAAGCTGATTCCGTTTGGCGGCGGGAGGAGGCGGTGCCCTGGTGCCGTGCTGGCGAATCGGGAGATTGGGCTGGCGCTTGGATGTTTGGTGCAGTTGTTTGATTGGGAGAGGGTTGGAGGAGATGAGATTGATATGACGGAAACGTTGGGTGTTACGATGCCTAGAAGTAGGCCGCTTCATTTGCTGTGCAAGCCCAGGGAATTTGCGATGAAGCTTCTATCGCAGTCATCGTCGAATGTGGGATTGGTGACTTGAGTTGACGTATGGGTTGTGATTTGGTTAGCTTGGAGTAGCGTATATTTGTACCCGCTTAATTTCTGCTTAATTACTGTGAAAGCAGTGGCGGATCCAGGGGTTGCCACCCCAGGTCACGGCCGAACCTCCTCTGGACCCGGAACTAGTATAGCCCTTATACGTTTATCGATTTTAGTTATTCGGGCCAGTGTTATTTATAATAAAATTGTGTGTAATTAAGAAAATGGGTAAGATGAACATATTCAAATTATAACTCTAAATTTAGTCTAGAAATTCTAGCTTAAATAAGTCTCGTCTAAAGAAAAACAAACAATGAAACCTAAAATTATAAATGTCTAAAACGTAAAAGGCTAAAAGAAATATGAGATTTGTTCACTTAAAAAATAACTAGAGTAGATGGTGGAAATAGGGATGGATACACAATACAAAATGATTAGTCGATTGATTTATCCAGTGTTGACATTGTCCGTTTCAACAACTACTATGGAGAGAACCTTTTCAATAGTGGAACAGGTGAAAAATGATTTGTGCAACAAAATGAGCGATGAATTTCTCGCCGATTAGTTAACTATTTTATTTGAAAAAGAGTAGTATGCGATTAGTATGGATGTAGACTCCTTTATTGATGAATTCACTATATTAAGAGATCGACGTGTACCATTGATATTGTAAAAAAAATTATAATTTTTTGCGGTATCTAGTTTTCTAATGAAATGCGGCCCAGTGCTCTACTATGTCCTGGATCCGCCGCTGTGTGAAAGGTTTGGCTTGGCTTTCGGGGGGGGGGGGGGGGTTATTTTTTCTGAGTTCAAGGTTTTGCAGGTTTCCTACTTCAGTAATTTGAATCATTATCTAGCAACTCAGTTTTAGTTGAAAAGTTTGCTAATTAAAGTAAAGCAAGGTAAAAGTAAATGGTTTTGAAAGCTCTTTTGTGAGAATGATCACTCGGGTGTCGCTTCCCCCTAACTACTACCATGGTATGTGAATCGAAACGATTGCTATGGGCAAGGTGACCGCGAACCGCTAGGGACGCAAATATGGTCGTAGACCACACTCTCGATTGCTAAACCGAGGGATTCATTGTAGGCTGTCACTCGGCCCTCTCGGTTTAGGCAATCGATGGTTGACTTACTCCCTCACACAACCCAAAGGTTGGTCGGCTTAATCGCGGTTAACCAAATTGCTTAATCCAACATCGAGGTTTGCCCTAAACTAACCTAGATAGGTGACTTAAAAATCCTAGGAATACCAACTCAATTGAGCCTCCCTTGAAGGGGTTTTTCCCTCTTTAGTCTAGATTAAATTGGTCAATTAAATTGCTAAGCACAAACATGCATAATCAACATGAATAATACCTCAATCATTGAATTAAACAACACCCATAAACAATCATTCAATTCACATAACAAAAACTACATGGTAGATAGTTAGGGTTTCACAACACCCAACTGAAAAGTATCAGTAGTTAGAATTTACATATAATGGTGTTGTGAGATCAAGGAGTAGCTTTTGCACTTCTCCCGCCTATTGAACCTACAACTAGCTTAGAGGATGGCCTTTGTTTGTCCATTTTTTTTAATTCACTTTTATTATTACCTTCAATGTAAATGACACGCTTGCTATCTTTACTTAAAAACATTGCTCAATGATAATGTTTCTAATTGGTTTACCAAAATCTAGCCTTCGTTTTAGATGCATCATAGGCCAAACTTCCCTTGCGTTATTCTATTTCTCAATTTTGTCCATCGTCAATTGTTGGAGCTAGAGCCCATACTTGAATTCTTAATGTGGTCTCATGTTAATGTGCTAAACAACTTCTATCTTCATTTTTGAATATTTGTCACCATATGTTGGGTATTCCCTTTACCCTAACTTTAACTTAAAATAGTGATGTTTACTATAAATATATTGAACGATCAAATTTTTGTATCCATTATTTCATATAATAAGAGCAGTGCATGCATCTTTGTATGCTTGAGTTATGAACATTGCTATTGGTTTGCCTTTGATGGTTTTATTTTTTTTATCTAATTGTGTCACCTTCTACATATCTGAAATATAATCGGCGGTGTTTAGCCACTTGGAAATGGTCTTCCAATTAGGCATTCAACTGCCTGGATTATATTAGTGCAAACTAGGCAATTTCTTTTTTAAGGACTTGACTTTGACAGTTTAAAATGTAGTTTACAAAGTTAGTATGCACGTCATCCTTAAAGGACATACACCTCCATAACTTGATAAAATTGGTTTTAGTTTTAGTGTATTTAAGCTATCCTACATGGTTGGCAAGTCCGAGCTAGCTGATTCTCGGAGAAACAAACTAGCTTCAACCACATCCCACATCCATGCTTTCAAGTGCTTCCACTTTCAGTGAATGGTTACTTTGATAAAATTTTGTGATGAGTTTCTTTTCACGTATGGTTTAGTAAGCTTTGATGGCTCATTAATGCTCAATAGTCATTGATTAATTATAGGAGCCATGTAAAATGACAAAGCACCTGAACGGTATTGAGAAATGATGGGGTAGAAGCATAGCTAAATGAACAAATGTTTATAAGAAGACTTTTAGATGGGATTGAATATATTGAAAATGTTCATGTTATTTAACTTCTTGCCTCATTTTCAGTTTATCTTTGATTATAAATCCATTTATAGTAACTTCCGAACGATAATTTATTTTTTGTTCAATCAACTACCCTCATGAATGTTTTATTAGGTGCTGAACTGAAATGGAAGGATCTTGATGACGTCACTCCTTCAATTTAGTAGATAGACAAGAAACCATATAGATTTAAGGCAAAATACACTTGTATAGCCAAAACTTTGACGGTTTGGCCAAACATAGCCACTTTTGACAAAATACCAAAAATAGCCACTTCCGTCCAATTCTTTGACGGTGTGAGTTAACGTGCTGACTAGACTAACAGAAAAGCTGACATGTCAAACTTTTATTTAATAAAAATATGAGCTGGAATTAATTAAAAAAATCATAATAAAATAATTCATTATTTATTATTTTCTCTCCCTCCCCTCGGTTCTTTCTCCTTCCCTTTCCCCAACCGCCGCTCATCTTCTCGGATTACTCCCTCCGTCTCGTTCTCACCACCGCTGTCGAGGAACCGTGCTCAATTCTCAATCTTCTCCCCCGCCGCCATCAAGGACGGTGCTCAATTCTCAAGGACGGCGATCGTGACTTCTCCAACGACTTCCAGCTCTCGATTGGTGGCGAAACTTATGAACAATCCGCTGCCCCCGCGTAAGTGGCCTGTGATGGCTCCGCCAGCTCCGGCCTAACATCGGATGTGAAGCACCCACTAAAATCGAAGACCAAATCTACAATGAACCGATTCCCATCTCCGACCTCACTTCTATGGCGCTTCGTCTCCTACCCTTCCCGAATCGCACAAGGCGGTAGTAGGTCGAGTTTGGGAAAACTGTTCGATTTGTTCGACTCCTTGTGGGTTTTTGATTTGTTCAACTCCCTGTGGGATTTCTGTGGGGATTTGTTCGAGATGAGATTTTTTCGACTACCTGTGGGTTTTCTGTGGGGTTTCTTAGATTGGATTTATTCTTCTAGTTTTGTTTCGGGTAGATTAGAAAAGAGTGGTGGTGGTGGTCGAGTCTGTACGAGAGAAAGGTTTCCTTTTAGTAGGGCTGGGAAACGGTGCGGTCTGGTCCAGACCAGACCATAGATACGGTCTATGGTCCAGACCGAGAGGCTAAAGTATAGACCACAGACCAGACCACAGACTATACGGTCCGGTCCAGACCACGCATGTGCGGTCTGGTTCGGTCTGGTCTGGTCCAGATAGACCACACTCAACGAAAAATGAATAATTTGTTTAGTCAACCACACAAAAAATTGAACCAATAACCAAGAAAAATAATTGTTATTTGCCTTAAAACATTAATCCTAACATGCATGAATAATTTTGAAACTCTAAATCTTAGTACATAACAAAGATACAAAGTAAAAACATCCCAGCTTGCACCATAACGTCATAAACATTAACATAATGACATATGGAGACACTATTATCTCTACTCTCTGGTTAAATGTGGTTGTGAATGAAGGAGGGAAGAGATTCACAAAATTAAGGTTGAGACTTGGGTGTCGTTGTGAGAGTTTGGAGAGTGGTCGAATGGGCTGTTAACACATATTGACAAGTCAGTTGGGTCCACGGTTTGGTCCGGTAAACCACGGTCTAGACCAGACCAGACCAAGAGATCAAATCATAAAATAATACAGACCATGGACCAGACCAGACCATACTTCACGGTCTACGGTCCGGACCAAACTGTGCGGTACGGTTTGGACCACGGTTTTTCTAACAGTCTGGTCTATTTTCCCAGCCCTACCTTTTAGCAACTTGGGTTTTCCTCTTTGCTATCCCAACCGGCTGTAGAGGAAGATCGGTGGTGGAAGTGGACGGTAGGGAGGAAATAAAAAGAGGTGAAAGAAGTAGAGGATTCAACCATTGTCTCCTCTCTTTGTTGTTTCCAAATCCAATCATCTTCTTCGGATAACTTGTTGATGGCCTTGCATCTGGAAAATTGAGATCGGCAGCGGCGGGGTCAACGAGAATGGACGACAGTGAGGGGAAGCGGGCAGTTCTTGGATGGAGATACCAAGCTGATTTCCCCGATTTAGGTAAGGTTAATTTTTTTTTTTTACTTGTGGAAATGAGGTGTCGTCCACCTGTCAATGAATGCTGAGGTGGAAATGAAAGAAAGGGTGAGTTGGCAGCCAGATTATCGTCCCACTAATTTGACTAACGGTGTAACTAACGTCGTTAAATTATGTAACGGAAATGGCTATTATTGTCATCAAACTTTCAAATTTCTGACTATTATTGGTATTTCCCCAAAAGTGGCTATTATTGTCACAAACGTGAAAGTTTTGGCTATACGAATGAATTTTGCCTAGATTTAACCTTATAGTTATGATGACATATTTATTTTCTTATTTGTCGTGTAACTTTATAAGTATAATTGTGACTACACATCACATGACGAAGCGCAGCGAGTCTTGCTAGTATCCTCTAAAACATACATTGAGGTTGGGCTTAAGAACACTATTAGTATTTGGGCCTCGGATTCTCTCTCGCTGAGATAAAATCGAAAACGAATAGCGGCCTTTCTTGAATCCGTCATCAGTCATCAACCAATCCAAGCAAGCCCGACAAAACAAGTAATCCACAACCAGCCAATCACCTTCAACCCTTCTGCCTACGTGTCACCTTCCCCAATCCAAGATAACCCCCATTTTCAGATCACACAGTCCTGAAGAAGAAGCAAATAGCTGAATTATACTATCCGAAGAAACCAAAAAAAACAAACCCATTCGTCGCATCATCACCGGCCACCATGTCATCCACCGGCGTCGCCACGGCAGCATTGCGCTCATCCCTCTGCATATCATCAACATCGCCATCTCCTTCCGATTCACTCCAGCAGCAGCTCAAAAACCCACAACCAAGCAGCGCGCAGCTCTCAGCAAAGCCCCAAAACAAGAGCATCCTCCACAAACACCCACTCTACGCCCCGCTCCTCCACAACAACGTCTCCTCCCAAATCAAAGAGAAAGTCCTCTGCCTCGAAATCATGGGCGTCGACTCCGGCAAAGCCCTCTCCCAAAACCCAACCCTACACACCGCCTCCCTCGACTCCATCCACGCCGTCGTCTCCTTCCTCCACTCCAAAGGAATCCACCACAAGGACTTCCCCCGCATCTTCGGGATGTGCCCTCAGATCCTCACCTCCCACATCCCCACCGCAATCTCCCCTGTCTTCTCCTTCATCAACAAAGACCTCGGCGTCCCCGACAACCAATTCCGACGAGTAATCAACAAATGCCCCCGCCTATTGACCAGCAGCGTCGCCGATCAGCTCCGCCCCTGCCTCGATTACCTCAAAGGATTAGGGTTCCACGATCTGGAATCGCTCGCCTACCATGACCCCGTGCTGCTGGTCTCCAGCGTGGAGAATACCCTGGTCCCGAAATTGAAGTACATTGAGAGCCTGGGGATGACGGCGGAGGAGGCGGTGGCGGTGCTGCTCCGGTGTCCGACGATTTTCACGTTCAGTATCGAGAACAATTTGAAGCCCAAGTTCGAGTACTTGGTTGGGCAGATGGGGAAAGACGGGGCGGAGGAAGTGAAGGAGTTCCCGCAGTACTTTGCGTTTAGCTTGGAGAATCGGATCAAGCCCAGACACGTGGAAGTTGTGGAGCAAGGCCTAGATCTGTCTCTCGCTGTTATGCTAAAGAGCACCGACGTCCAGTTCAAGTTCCTGCTTAGCGAGGCCCAGGCCCAGGCCCAGGCCCAAACCGTGGCAGAATCTGTTTTGTAAAATTTTGTACATTTTTCTCTACAACTTCCTTTGTAAAGCAGATTCGATCAAAATAAAAGCATCCTTGTTGACTTCTTGTTGTTGGGTTGACTATTGAGGACGTCAACGTAGACTTAAACTATTTATGTTTTGTCATAGTCATAGATAGTAGATTAAATTAGATAGCCAGAGAGCATCACACAATAGTCAATAAATAGTCGAATCATCATGAAAAACACGATATATAAAGAAAACAAATCAATTATAAGGGCTTACATATATGAGTTATGACATTCAAGTTCAACTCGTGTAATCGACTCGACTGACATGACAAACAAAAACAAAAAAGATAGCAGGAAACTGTAAAGTGAAAGATAAAGGGTTCACAAGTGCTCATTCCTCCACGATGGCCGGATGAAAGGAGGCAAGCTCCTCCTCCTCCTCCTCCTCTTCTTCTTCTTCTTCTTCTTCTTCTTCCACGGGATCAAACCAGACAAGCTCCTCCTCCGTGTGCGTTCCAAAGTTCGGTTCGATCCAAGCGCAATTCATATATTCTTTGGTGTCGCACCAATCGTCGTTCTCGTATCGGCTCCAAAGGCTATGAAACTTTCTCGTTGCGAGAGAGTAAAACACGCTATCCTTCTCGCGAAACCTATCCAAGAACACCTTGTTTCCCAAGCCAGAAATCCTCGCCCCTGCACTTGTAGTAGATAACGAAGATGGAGAGCTCAAGAACAACATAGTATCATCCAGTCCTTCCCAAGTTGCGGCTTCTCGATTCAGCTCGTAAATTCGTAGGACTTCCCCCACGCGACTCGTGTACACCGACAGAAGCTTGCCATTGCATTCCAACAGATAGCTCCCTTGTATTGAAACAGTAGATTTATGTTTATCATTACCAGCCAACTCCAGAAGTTTGGCGTCCCTTTCCACAGGATCGAATGTGCATAAGCTTCTGGTCCCTCCTATAAGATAGAACAAACCCTGGTGATAAACTGGGTTAGCGCAAGATCTCATGAATTGAGTTCCCTTTCTTTCCACAACAGACTCTCTCCATCTGCTCTCTCCTCTGCATACGTATGCAAGGTTCAAATCTTGTTTCCCGACTGAGTAGCCAAGAACCACGCAATCCGACGATGTTGGAGGAGAAGAGAAAGCGATCCCCTCGAACTCGTAGCTGCCCAATTCGGGTAGATCGATCCTCTCGTCGGTGAAAGGGTTGAAGAAGAACACTTGTTCACCCCAACTTCCTTGTGACATGAGCAACCATCCATGTTTGGAGCAACGAATCACCGCGCCTGTCAAATTCATACCTTTCAGAGGCGAGATGCTGGTGGCATTGGTTAGTGGGTTGTAGAAATTGACCAGTTCACCATCCTGTCCTATGTGTACGAGGTAGGGGAGTCGATGATTCGACAATTGATCATGAAATTGACATTTTTCGCAGTCGAGATGGAAGCAACGACAATCAGCTCCCTGTAGATTGTCGATTGGAACTCCAGACCATCCATCTCCAACATTACTGTCGTCGATCAACGCAATCCCCTGGCTAGCAGGAGCAGCAGCCTCAGCTTCAGAAGCTACGACTTCTGGTTTGGAAAATTCAGTTGGTGAAGAAAGCCATCCATGAGTTAGGATCCATTGTTGTTCAGGATGAGCCCAATTCACGTCCGGGCAAGGTAACGAGACAGTCATGCTCCTCTCCTGAACATTGTACGAATAAAGGTACCTGTCATTCTTCTGTGCAAAGTAGATGGTATTCCCCCGAACAAGCCCTGCATCCAGATCTTCTCTCGGGATTTCATACCACAAGATCGTATCTCCACTGGCGCCGATGAAGATGGCACAATCTTCAGGCAAAGCGTCCACCTTTTCCCAAACCCTTCTCTCGAAATTCACGGTATACAGCTCAATGGTCATCATACTAGTGTCCCTATCAGGATCCTCGTCAATTGAGTCACCATTGCCATAAATTGCCTCAACCATGATAAGCTCGCCAGAGGAGGACTCCACCATGTAAATTTTGGAATCTACATCGGCCCTAATGTAATGATGAAACAGAGCATCCGGTTTGGTAACGTTCACATCGACTATGCTCAGGGAGCAGGAGCCACCACCATCATCGTCAACTCGATTGATCTGGACCTTGAAGAGGGTATCACAGCAATATGCAATAGCATAGATTTCGCCTCTGAAGGTGGTCATTGCTGCAAATTGGAGGGGTTCTGCTTCTAACTCTCCTTCGACTTCACAACTGCAACGAATGTGGAGTTGTTGTCTCTTCCAATCCTCATCACCCGGTTTGCAGTACAGAAAGGTGATTTCCTCATCTGTACTCAGGGTGAACAAAACGACACAATCAGGCGCGGTAGGAGGAGAAGATGTTAAAATATATTAGTTTAAGTACCAATGTGTAATTAGCCACAATTGTTTAATGTAATTAGAACTAGGGTTAAACCCCTATATAGGAGCCGGCCATACTTCCTTGTACGATTAATAAGCATAGTGAAAACCTATTGAAGAGCACAGCCTCTTCCGTGGACTAGTCCTGGCAACAGGGATACCACGTTAAACTGCGTGTGTTCTTTACTTTCAGCTTGATTCCTTACATGGTATCAGAGCCTCCGTGCTAAAGGTTAGTTCATTCTTCTTGGTGGATTTGGATCTGCGGCGTTTGAGTTTTTCCTTTCCTGTTACGATCAGCGATCGTCGTTGGCGTTTGGGTTGGAAGTTTGTGCTGCTGTTAGAGTTCCACCGTCAGGGTCTTCGCGCGCCGGTTTGTGCTGCTGTTTGGTGTTGGTGCGCAAGTTTGGGTCGTGGTTATTGTGGTTCTAGCTGCGTTTGGATTTTTTTTGGTTGTGCAGAGTGGTTATTATGGATTTCTCCAAAATGGAAGCGGTCACTACTAAGTTTGATGGTCGTAATTTTTCAATATGGGAGTTCCAATTCCGCAATTTTGTGGCGGGTAAGCGGCTTCTTCCAGTTTTATTGGGTGAAGTTAAGGCGCCAACAGAGGGTACCGATGCGGCTGATGCGGCTGACTGGCATGCTGCCAATGCCCAGATTATTCATTGGTTGGTGGCTGCGGTGGACATTCCGACAGCTCTCAGCCTTCGTCGATTTCGCACGGCGCATGAGATGTGGAGTTATATCTGCGCCACCTATTCGCAGAATACAGCCTCCCGTCAGTTTGAGCTGGAAGGCGAGATCTCTCGTCTTGCACAGGGCGATCGCGATGTTCGCGGCTATTATCAGGAGTGTCTTCATTTGTGGACGGAATACGACTTGCTGACTGTCTCTCTCGTTCCAGATGCGGCTGCTGCGGCAGTTCAGGCCGAGCGAGATCGCACTCGTGTTCTTCAATTCTTAGCAAAGCTCCGGCCTGAGTTCGAGCCCATCCGCGCCTCATTGATTCATCGCAATACTACGAGTATTGATGCTGTCGTTGCTGAGCTTATGCGGGAAGAGACCCGTCTTCGCAGTCAATCTCAGATTGATCATGCCACTCCACATGCTGAACCCGCCTTTGCTGTAGGCCGCCCGGCTGCTGTCTCTCGTCCATCCTCTGGTCGGCCGACTTCAGCTACCTCTACTGGGACGGTGACGTGCTTCTTCTGCCGGGAGACAGGTCACGTCCAGACCTACTGCAAGAAGAAAAACTTTTGCATTTATTGCAAAAGTTCAGGCCATATTGTCTCTGAGTGCCCCACGTTACGAAGGCGGGGGAAGTTGCGTCCTGTTCCCTCAGCTGGTAGCTCGACTTCACGGGCTGTGGCGTATCCGGTGACTGCCGAATCCTCGTCCTCGTCGTCTCTTACTCGGGATCAGGTTCACCAGATGGTTCAAGACGCTCTTCGTGATGCTCTCTCGTCTGCGTTCTCGACTGGTCTCCCATCTGGTAAGTCTCTTCGTTGGATGTTGGATTCTGCAGCTTTTAATCACATGACGCATCATCGTTCTGCCTTTGAGACTTTACGTCCGATCTCTCCTATGAGTCTTCAAGTAGCTAATGGGGCCACTCTCCCCGTTCAGGGTGCTGGTACTGCTAGTACTGGTTCAGTGTCTCTCCCCGACACCCTTTATGTTCCTCAGCTCGTTCCCAATCTGGTATCCGTTGGTCAGCTAACAGAGGATGGTTGTGATGTCGTGTTTGATTCTGCTGGATGTGTTGTGCAGGATCGGAAGACGGGGAGGGTGCTCGGGACGGGAAGTAAGGTGGGCCGTTCATTTATCCTTGATGATCTACGTGGGCGTGCGTGCATGGGATTGCAGGGTGCATGGGATGGTGGTGGCACGTCGTCTACATTGGGTCACCAAGGGAAGTCTTGGCCGCAGCAAACTTGTGATGGGTCCAAGGAGACTTGTGATGAGATTTTGTCTAAGGAGAATGACTTTGATGCTCCTGTTTTTAGTTCCAATATTTCTGTTGAATCGTTATGGGATTTATGGCACAATAGGTTGGGTCACCCACATGCTGGGCGACTAAAGGCTATGTTTAGCAATAATTTGTTGCCGGATAAATTGGATTTGGTGAAGTTTGCTGGGGATTTTTCGGATTGTGTGAGCTGTTTGGAGGCAAAAGCCTCTCAATCTTCCTTTTCATCTAGCGACACTGTCTATGATGAACCATTCGATTTGGTGCATTCTGATCTTTGGGGCCCCTCTCCCGTCACTTCAAGATTAGGATACCGGTATTTCGCTTTGTTTATTGATCATACAACTCGATTTACTTGGGTTTACTTCCTAAAACAGAAATCTGAATTAACTACAGTGGCCAAAGAGTTTGTGCAAATGGTGAAAACTCAGTTTGGCAAAACGATCAAGGTGTTGCGATCTGATCCCGGTGGAGAATACACGCCTAATGAGCTTCTGGCATTCTTTAAAGCAGAAGGTATTCTTCCCCAGCAGTCCTGTCCGGGCGTTTCACAGCAGAACGGTGTAGTCGAACGTAAGAACAGGCATGTACTGGAACTGACACGGGCTATTCTGTTTTTCTCCAAAGTCCCAACGGGATTTTGGGT